GGCATTTTGGCAATGATCTAACTTCCCCTGAATCGAGGCCCTTGGTTTTCGTGTATTCATACACGCCTAAACGCAGTGCTATCAACTCTCCCGGATAATCCGGGAGACTCCAGATTTTGGACCGTATCTCCGGGTCTCCAGATTAGAGTCTTATATCTCCCGGATAATCGCCAAAGTTGCCATTTCTTGTAGACTCGACTTTCCCACCATAAAATTTCAAATATTTTGCGTTGTTTGAGCTACTGTTAACATGCAACGTTTCTTCATAAATTATGGTTTGCCACTGTAATTATTTTAAGCTACAATGTGGCTAAATATGAACTCTTTATGTGCTATATACGTCGATCGGAATCAACGAGCATTTTTGGCGCAAATGACGTCATTTGTCGTATCAATTCTCAATTTCAAAAGGGATGAGAGATCCTTGATATTTTCTTCTCGGCAATTTTGTAGAAGTAAACATAATAAAAAAGAAATGCGGATAGACAAAGTATGGTCCTCTTGGCGCTAAAATTATAACTGAATGTTTCGAAGTTCCAAAATTGAAATGAAGGGGAGGCAACTCCCCAATGTGCCTTTCATTCTAACCCCAATTTTTTTTTTCACCTTCTCCTTTAGGGTACGGGGGTGGGTTAATAAAATGGGATGAAAGAGACCCCCTATTGTTCATGATGGGTTTTATTTATGATTTCTCTCACAAAAGTTACTTTACTATTGATTGCAACATTTTGTGGTCTTCATCAGTCATGGAGTCAATCTTTCCCTGAGTACCACATGCGGCAGTTGAGTGTAGTAGAGATGTTTTGGGGTCAACCTGAAGGCCAAAGCCATGAGCGGCTTGACTGAAACCAGAAACCTTGCATGAAGAGTCTCTGGCACCCAGCAGGGAAGGAGTCAGTTGTCTGTTAGGGAAATAAAGACCAGCATTATGCAGTTACAATGTTGCAGTCAATAGCAAGGTGATTGACACGAGACAAACAATAGCTAACCTCAAACACAAAGCTTAATTAATATCTTTTATTATTTCCTGTTCTTTTTTTGTAAATTTAGACTGCTCCTGGCTCATAACTGTAATGTTAGATGTTATTCTGCAATGGTTACTGTGTGATCTCCCCACCTGTACTTTGGTATTTGGAAAGTTCCACAAGTATTGGACAAGCAGATATTCTTAAACTTTATATCTGAATCTAAAATTAATACTATAACAGATGGTCTTATCAAACTATGATTATAGTGATTATCATAAACAAATATCTTTTTCCTCAAAAACTAAAATCATATTATTATAAGTCTACTTCCAAATTGCCTTTTATTTGCTTGTGAAACACGAGGAAAACTACCCCTAAGCTCTTTCAGTCCTTACCGAAGCCAAACTTCAAATTCTCTAAGAGTTAAATATCAGTTTTGTTACTGTCAAATTCCAAAAACCATGAAAACCTGATCACAGAAAAGATCAAAACACGCAAGCAAGCCCCAAAACAACAAACTTCTGCTGCTGCTTGTGCTTTACATTTCTTACGTCTGACAGGCTTTCTCCTAGCAACACAATAACATTCCAGAAATATTTCTGGTGTTCACGGTTGTGTAAGTTTCACAGAAAGATATCAAAAACAGTGAAAGCACTGATGAAGAGGTTTTATTAGATTGGTCAAACTATACATAAATTAAACAAGTTTTCCAGAGATTTAAATGTCACAAAACTCAGACCTTACTTTTTCTTGTAAAAACTGTTTTTAGCCCTTGATTTGATTAAAATAATTGTTTTGAAACCTCTATTAAGTGGACACCATTAGGACCTTCTCAAGTGTCCGCTTCATAGAGGTTTGTAAAAATTGCGCAATGTTTGTTAACGATTAACTTATAACGGTTACTCTGTACTGTGATAAAGTTCCACGTTTTTAAGGAACATAAGGAAGCTCTACTGTACTTTGTGCAAGATTTTCGGTCTAATCTACAGTTTATTCACAGCTAAATGTATTGATTTATCTTTATTAATCGACTACAGTACGTATTTCAAGGACATAATCCAATACTACTATTGTCAATTCATTCAGGTGTCCACTTAATAGAGGTTATTAACAATATAAATTAGCCAAATACTGTTTATTTTAGTGTCCGCATCCACTTAATGGAGGTGTCCGCTGAATAGGGGTTCATAAAAAAGGGAAATATAAGACATTAATTTCTGGACCCAGCTTACTGTCCGCTTAATAGAGGGTGTCCGCTTAATTGCGGTTTCACTCTAGTCTCTATTTGTAGCAGTAGACCTGCTGGTACACAGATTTCCTACTTAAAGTGATTTAATAAGTATAATATTAATTTCTCCAAATATTTTTATATTAGAAGTATGCGTTTGTCAAAGGCAATAATTGAACCATGTGGTTGACTTAATAAAGGTAATGCTCAGCATGCTCCTGATACTTTCTTGCCCTGTTTCTTTTGAAGAAATTTTGTGCTTTATGGTGAAACCTCAAAATAAAAAGCAACCTTGATTTAATAACCTCTGTGTGATGAAGTCCTCACTATAACAAGTGAAGTTCTTCTCCCACTAAAAAAGTAAAATATATGGAAGAAGACTTTGATATAATGAAACCTCTCATTATAACAAACACATTTTCCCAGTTCCTTGGCCCTTTGTTATATTGAGGTTCCACTGTATGGGATGTGTGCAGTGCAGTTTTAACAAAAGGAAAGTTTCACTTTACCCACACTGACCAATATTTATGACAGCTATTCATACCAATATGTGTTTGAGTTACTTTTAGGATTTGTTTGTTTGTTCCTTCGATTCCACATGCCTTTTGTTGAATGGAAATGGTGAAAAAAATGCAACATTTTGAGCCTTTCAACCTCCATTCCAGCTTCCAACAAGCGATCAACAAATTCCCAGTCCTCCCCACCCCACTTATCCTTAAATTCCTTGATGTTCATTCCTCCAATTTTATCCCAGTCACTCTTGTACAAAACCATCATTCCAAACCCATTAAAGTCCCAGTAGCCGAAGGGTTCAGTAGATGTTGTGCCACAAGCTAAGCGAACCAGAACAGGGCTGTAGGCCATCTTGTGTTGAACAGAGTGCTGAAAGAGGGTGTGAGGACAAATAGCAAAAGTTAGATTATGTACTCAGGATAAATTCAATGACCTTAACTATTTCTTCTTAGGAGGACCCAGAAGGGGTCGACTGGGGGCTGGGAATTGTCTTTTCTTGGACTGGGTAAATGGAATTCAAGTCACAGGGAATTATAATTATTATAGTGTATTTTTAAAGTCGGGATTTGGATTTTAAGCAAACTTCAAATGGGACACACACACACCCACCCACATGCACCCCTACTATGGTCCAGCCCATTGGGAACTTCTTCTGGCAAAAGCCTAGAGTAAAAACTCCACACAGGGATTGGTGCAAGGGAAGGGCAAGGGCCTGCTCTAGAGAGTTGAACATAACTCATTTTTGAACATTGTATCCTTTTGGAAGACTTTCGTAACAAGGAAAATATGTACCATTTTTAAGTCGGGGCTGTATGGTAACTTTTCAAATTCCACCATTATGAATAAAAATAAGCAAGTTAGCCATTCTGAGCAGGAAACAATAAGCATTATTTTCACGCACCCCTCCCCTAATCCCGCTGCCCGCCAAAATATAGTGTGACAGTATAAAGTGACTAATTTGACCTAACCGGAAATTCCACAAATTATTGTCACTAATTCTACGTGTCATAAAACACTGTTAACAAGAAGTACATTTCTCAATTCTGGTTCTTAACACTAACAAAGCAAATTAAATTTAAGTTTTGTTTTTGTCTGATATTGGGTTTAAAGCCTTTCTAACTGTCCTACTGAATACATATATATATTTAGTAAAATCCAACTAGTGGTCTATTATCAATGCTGCGTTCTGATTGGTTGAGCTACTACTAGGCTATTTATGTTATAGCCCACTAGTAGCAAAAAGCGCGGGCTTTTTGGCGGCAAAAAAGGCAGCACATGAAAAAGGATTAAAGTCTAGCTTTAACTAGCTAAATTTTTTTTATTCTCGTTATTTTTTACTAACTAGTTGGATTTTACTAAAACAATAATTTATTATTCCTCTCGCCCTCATGGCCTCTGAGTCAATAGCCCATGAGGCCAAAGGCCGAATGGGCTATTGACTCAGAGCCCATTCGGGCTCGAGGAATAATTGTTAAATATTTATTTCAACAATGTGATCTACAATGAGCACATTTCCCAGGACATTCACACAGAGCAAGAATCACAATAAGATAAAAAGAGACATTGGACGTCATATTTTAAAGGGTTTAAACTTTAACGTCGAGGGAAGAGAAACCTCAAGAGTGACCAATCCTACCATCTTTTGAAAAAGGCACTGAAAAAAAAAGCCAATGACAGCTTGAGAGACGTTTTTAAAATCGAAGGTGTTTTATGAACTGGGCCAGCCTGCAGCAAGCCCAGTTAATAATAATTATTATATATTTTTTCTTTTCATTTCTATAGTGCAAATTCAACTAAAAGTTTTCAAATGCACCGATACTAACATCAAGCACTGCTGACCAACCTTTCTTATATAATCTAGACAGTAATATGGAATGGCCAGAACTACGCTTCACTAACCTTTCTAACATCATCCAGGAAATGATAAGGGATATCAAGATGAAGGTCGATAGCAAAAAGAATTGAATTTGGATCTATGACCATTTCAGCAGCTTTCTGTAGCCCCAAGGCCCTTGAAAAATCCCCCTTTGTATTAGTATATTGATAAGATGGAATTGCCGCCTTCTTCAAGGCATTATCAATATCAATGTCTTTGCTGTCAAAATCGACGATAACTACATTAAAATTGGCATCTTCAGTTCTATGGGAAATTCTTGCCATGTTTTCAAGGAAGTGAAGAATCCACCGTCCCTGGTTATTTCCAGTAGTAAGCAAAATGTTGACAACAGCACTTTTGTTCCATGTCACGCCCACAGGGGTGCAGAGGGCTTGTGCACCCCAAGTTCTGTATACATATTCTGAGAATCTCACAGATTTTCCACTCAAAATTTCTTTGAGTTCCATTTCCACCAAGTACCTGTATCCCGTTCCTGGGTCACGATTTTCCTCCACATTTAGGATTTGCACAAAAGAGTATTTCCTAGATTGAAGAGGAAAAAATCTTATTATTATCAAAGTGACTCTCGCACCCTTACGGATTTTTCCCAGAAGGGTGATAGGGCTTGCTAATCTTGTACCCAGATCTTCCGCAGCCACTTTTCAGCGTAATACAGAGTGAGATCTGGGTACGAGATTAAGGGCTCGCAAGAAACACAAAAAAAACTCTCAGGTTTTGCTCACCTGAGGCCACTTCTTGCTCCTCTTAGTTTATGCGTTCCTTAGAGGTTGACTTGCCTAGACCCTTACCCTTTGGGCAAGTAAGCTTTAACCCTTTCAAACCCTAAGATCAAAGTTTGAATTCTCATTTGTTGCCCTATTCATTTCCTACAGAAGTAGTGGGGAGAAGTTAATAAAATATCAAGAAAATTCATCATGTGTGATCATGTCTGTAATTCTCACCACCACTCTGTTTTACAAAGCATTGACATTACAAGGAGAAATTTGATACTGATCACTCCTAGGGCTTAAAGGGTTAAAAGTAACTTGCCCAACAAGAAAAGCTACTTTTTCCAGACTACCAGACAGCACTTTTTTTGAGCCCTGGTTGCAATGTGCAACACACTTCTTTGAATGCTTATTCTATTTCAGACCTAAATCTTCCCAACCCCATTCCATACCAGTCATTTTCAGGACGTTCACATGGATAAACAATCCCAACCAACTAGGAAATTCTTAGATTTGCATTTGGGAATGTCTTAAATTTCCCCAAAGTTACTCAAAGTGTACTTGTCAAAAAGTAATCCCTGCAAGCCAGCCATGAGCCCCAACAGTTGAAACCAGACTGTAATGGAGAGCTGTTCATGTCGGCTTGAAAGTTGGGTAGAAATCATTAAGTCCCTCAACACTGAAATACACCAGCACACATAATTACCCCGGTTGTTTTTTCTTGAGCTGTATCCAGACTTGGGAGGCAACTGCTTCTGCGATAACTTCATCCAACTTGTCATTGCCAAAAGAAACAAAATCTTTCTCCTTGTCAAGAACATCACTGTAGTCAAAAGGATAAATGGACGTATAGTGCATCTCCCAAATGGCCCCGTACCTCTTTAAAGGTCCTTTCATCAAGTATGAAGGATTGTAGTCACATGGAGGAAAAAGATCTTTAGAATCACTTTCACTAATGAAAGGAAGGAGATACATCTCTGAACGGTGCTGTAGATTATCTGTTGCAAAGCTAGGATCCGGGCGTTTTGTGTGCATAGGAAGAACGGCATTTGTTTTTCCATCAAGTTGACCAAACCTATCATGAACAAACACATCAGAGGGAATTTTCCTCATGTCGTTTCCTCTTCCAGGAAATAATTTCCATTTGACTTCCAAGTGATGAAGCTTCCCTTTTTCATGTTTCCCATGCTTCAGTAAAACTTCCAAGAAATAATGTTTTCCTGCAAGAAGCGAGATCCCATTTCTGTTGCTGTCTAATTCTGATGCTATCCCGGCAGTTGTATTTGCGATTAATACGCTGTTTTCTGGCTTTGAATCTGGGCTTAACCACAGTTCGGAGGTCTCACTTGTATCTACATGAAAACTGTAAAGCCCGGATTCGATGGGGGACAGATATCCAAATATTCGAAGTCCAAAATTTTCGAATTCTGGCCGAAAATGGAGTTGCAGATCTGACGTTCGTAACCGTGTCGATGGCCAATGCGGAAAAAGTGGAAAATGTTTTAGTGATTGCATCTTGTGTCCGCAAATGTCCTCCCAAATGTCTACATTCAAAGATCCAGCTCTCTGATGCGAAATCAAAGGAGGAAAGATCGGTACCTCACTGCCTCTTCTGGGTTTATCACGTTTGTGGACAATGAAGCCCACATAGACAACTGTTACTATCAACAATGTTACGAAAACCAATTTTCTTTTAGACCTCCACAATTGCATTGCCTCGTATTAAACAGATCCGGGACAGATCCTAGTACGCAGTAGTATGGGCTGTACAACCTTACCGTGCAATTTAGCGGATGAATCCGAATCAATTTAAGAAAGACCTGTCGCCTTCTCCTTCTTTCGTCATAATTTTTCCACGCGGTCGTTTTGCGAGGAGCTCGTATATCAGCCCTCCCCACAAAAGCCTAGCCAATCAAGGTTTTCACGCTACGTCATCGCCACCATGCTAGTGGACGGTAAACAAAAGATCGCTCATCAGCTCGCTTTGTTTGTCCACCAGCATTTGTTCATTTCACCATTGTTATTTGTATCTCCCGAGATTGCATGAAAATCACCTATATAGGCTAGTTCCTGATTTCATTTGTGACATTTTCAGTTGTAAGTCTTGTAAATATAATTTTAGAAACTAAAATTTTGATATTCCTGGATTTAATTCTGTATTATATAATATATATATAGGATTATACTATAGCTTTTTTATAGCTTTTTTATTTCTTATCTTTTAGTTATAATATTATTCATTAGTTATTTTATCTTCATGTTGTGTCCCCAATTAGCGTCAGCTAAATACATCGACACATGAATAAAGTTTATCATCATCAATCATCAAAGCAGCTCAAGTTAAGCGTACTCCACAAAATTCAATTAATGGAATCTTGAGGTATAAAATTTCCATCACCTCGGTTTCCCTGAATTTGACGTATGTCTTCGAAGTAATTTTATCCATTCAAAGATTTTCAATCTGATCAAATAGAGAAGTTCTCTTACAGTCGAGACAGGTCAAGCGTACCCCCTAAGATTCTATTAATGAACTGATTATTTGAAAAATGAATCCGTTAGTCGTTCCGGTAACTAGTGTTAAATTCAAATCGGCATTCCTCCGTGCGTACTGAGCAGTGAATATTTTACGAGAACTTCTCTGTATTTGGTCAGATTGAAAATCTTTAAATGGGTTAAATTTCATAGAAGACATTTCGTCAAATTCAGGGAAACTTAGCAGGTAGAAATTTCGTAACTGAATCGCGTGTGAATTCACGGCTCATTACGCATGCAAGAATGCAGACATGAATATGAAATCTACAACTACCAACGGATTCAACTTTCGAATAATAAATTCATTAATGTAATCTTGGGGGGTACGCTTGACCTGAGTTGACTGTAAAGTATTCACTGCTCATTACGCATGCAGGAATGCTGATTTGTCATCTCTGCATTCTTGCATGCGTAATGAGCCGCGAATTCTCACGCGAGGCAGTTACGAAATTTCTACCAGCTCAGTTCCCCTGAATTTGATGTAAATTACTTCCAAGAAATTTAAGGTGGCTCGACTGGGTTTTTTGGGGTTGATACCTCCCAACTTTGAGCATTAACTACGTCTGCATGAGTAAAGATATGGAAAAAAGGTTACCACAACTGTATTATATAAAGATGAAAATTTCTTATGATTTGGGTTTTATTGCAATCAGAGTCGCCATGGCAACGTAATGACGCCATTACGTTTTTCATTTATCTTTGTGTTTCTCCGTTCCGGGAGTTTTTTGAAGAAATCGCTTAAGGGAGTATGTACCTGCTATAATTGCCTCCATTATGGCGTAGTTTGAACTAATTCTATGAGAGCGTTTTCGAAATATTTTGAAATGTACTTTTAAGAATGATAAAAACAGTGAAATAGCATGCTAGCCACACAATTCGCTAATATTTTAAGAAAATGATAAGCTTTGGGAACGAGGCTTCATCTCATAGTGATTTTATTCTATTGAAAACTGCATACAAAAAAAGAGGGGAATTGCTCTGGGCGATCGCGAGTAAGAAGAATTTTATTAACTTGCATTCAGCTGCTTTTGATACAGTTTTTGGACGTAATTTGGTCCATGCCTAAAAATTTCGCATTTTTCCAAAAACCGCTCGATAAATTTTTTTAAAAATTCGACAATCCCGAGATCAATTGTCAAGAAATATTCCCCGAACATTGAAAATAGGGAAGGCTTTTAAATAGGGCCTCAAATATAACCAATTTTCCCCCCAGATTTTGTGTTTACAAGTGAGCGTCCTCATTATTCATTGGCATTGTTTTCAAGTTTCATATGCACGTGCACAACTAGCAAAAGATATAAATTTGCATCAAAAAGAACTCTCGATTACTTTCCGAAGAAATATCCGGAATATGCTAATAGTTGGCTTGTCGTCACAGATAGCAGTGAGAGCCGAAACGGTGAAAGTTACGGCTCATCGTGTAGGATGGAATACTTAATTATCTTACTCGGGTTATAACATCACAGAAACTCTCACAAAAAGTTGCTCTGATGTTATAATGTATCATTAATCTCTTTACCCGGTAATTAGCATATCCCGGAGATTTAACCGAGGGTCCTTTTTGATGCAAATTCTATCTTTTTGCTAAATGTGAAAACAAACTTCTGTCGCTGCTTGTGCTTTACATTTCTCATGTCTGACTGGCTTTCTCCTTCCAACACTATAACACTCCAGAAATATTTCTGGTGTTCACGGTTGTGTGAGTTTCACAGTAAGATATCAAAAAAAGGAAAGCACTGATGAAGAGGTTTTATTACATTGGTCAAACTATATATAAATTAAACAATTTTTCCGGAGATTCAAATGTTACAANAAAAAAGAGGGGAATTGCTCTGGGCGATCGCGAGTAAGAAGAATTTTATTAACTTGCATTCAGCTGCTTTTGATACAGTTTTTGGACGTAATTTGGTCCATGCCTAAAAATTTCGCATTTTTCCAAAAACCGCTCGATAAATTTTTTTAAAAATTCGACAATCCCGAGATCAATTGTCAAGAAATATTCCCCGAACATTGAAAATAGGGAAGGCTTTTAAATAGGGCCTCAAATATAACCAATTTTCCCCCCAGATTTTGTGTTTACAAGTGAGCGTCCTCATTATTCATTGGCATTGTTTTCAAGTTTCATATGCACGTGCACAACTAGCAAAAGATATAAATTTGCATCAAAAAGAACTCTCGATTACTTTCCGAAGAAATATCCGGAATATGCTAATAGTTGGCTTGTCGTCACAGATAGCAGTGAGAGCCGAAACGGTGAAAGTTACGGCTCATCGTGTAGGATGGAATACTTAATTATCTTACTCGGGTTATAACATCACAGAAACTCTCACAAAAAGTTGCTCTGATGTTATAATGTATCATTAATCTCTTTACCCGGTAATTAGCATATCCCGGAGATTTAACCGAGGGTCCTTTTTGATGCAAATTCTATCTTTTTGCTAAATGTGAAAACAAACTTCTGTCGCTGCTTGTGCTTTACATTTCTCATGTCTGACTGGCTTTCTCCTTCCAACACTATAACACTCCAGAAATATTTCTGGTGTTCACGGTTGTGTGAGTTTCACAGTAAGATATCAAAAAAAGGAAAGCACTGATGAAGAGGTTTTATTACATTGGTCAAACTATATATAAATTAAACAATTTTTCCGGAGATTCAAATGTTACAAAACTCAGACCTTGCTTTTTCTTGTAAAAAAGTATCTTTTCCGCCCTTGATTTGATTAAAAGAATTTTTCTGTAATAGTCTCTATTTATAGTAGTAGACCTGCTGGTACACATAATTTTTACAGATTGCTTACCTAAAGTTTCCTGTTTCCTTTGAAGAACTTTTGCGCTTTATGATGAAACCTCAAAATGCAAAGGAACCTTGATTTAATAACTTCCATGTAACGAAGTCCTCACTATAGGCGGATTCATCGTGACGTCATCGTTTACATTGTTGCTCATTAGAATAGGAGTCAACCCATGGACGATGTAGCTATATATACCAATTAGAGGCTAAAATTTTAAGAGCTGGTTAATTTATGTAGTTTGTGCAAGTTTCAGCTCTTTGAAATCAGTAACAAAGAAAATACCAACAATTAAAAACTGCAAAATTACTGGGACGCAAAACGTTAAGGAGCTCATACACTATTTGCAAATTTTGAGGTTTTTTCCAAAAGTTCTTTGGCCCTTTGTTATAGAGGTTCCACTGTGTGGGATATGTGCAGTGCAGTTTTAACCAAAAAGAAAAGTTTCACTTTACCCACACTGACCAATATTTATGATAGCCATTAATACCAATATTTGCTTGAGTTACTTTCAGCATTTGTTTGGTTATTTCTTCGATTCCACATGCCTTTTGTTGAATGGAAATGGTGAAACAAATGCACCATTTTAATTCTTTCTACTTCCATCCTTGCTTCCAGTAACCGATCCACCAATTCCCAGTCCTCCCCACCCCACTTATCCTTGAATTCCTTGACATTCATTCCTCCAATTTTGTCCCAGTCACTCTTGTACAAAGCCATCAATCCTAAACCATTAAATTCCCAGTAGCCAAAAGGTTCAGTAGATGTTGTGCCACAAGCTAAACGAACCAGAATAGGGCTGTAGGCCATCTTGTGTTGAACAGAGTGCTGAAAGAGGGTGTGAGGGCAAATAGCAAGTGTTAGATTATGTACTCAGGATAAATTCAGTGACCTTAACTATTTCTTCCCAGAACAGGTTGACTGAGGGCTAGGAATTTTTTTTGGACTGGGAAAATGGAATTTACGTCACAGGGAATTATAATTGCCTGTGCATTTTTACAGTTGGGATTGGGATTTCAAGCAAACTTCAAATGGGACACTGGGATCTGTAAAAACAATTGATGAGGAGAATGGGGTTTGAATCCTCACCACCCTCCCCCTCTCCCACTCTGGTCCACCTCATCAGGAACTTCTTCTAGAAAAAGCCAAGAGTAAGTTCTCCACACAGGGATTGGTGCAAGAGAGGACAAGGGCCTGGTCTACCCCCTCCCCTCCTCCTCCTCCTCCCCCCCCCCCCCCCCCCCCCCCCCCCCCC